AAGAATTTTTCATATAATTTTCATATCTCTACAGCCCTTTTTAAGTTCTTTAAAAGGATAAAAATTAAGTTTTATTTTTTTATAATATTAATAAGTATCTCCTTATTATATTTCAAAAAGAGATCTTTATTGTAGATCATTAAAAATTTATTAATAAACTAAATAATTTTGATCATTGTTACTCTAATCATTTTCATTTGTATCTTATCCAAAATTTGAAAAAAATAAACTTAATGTTTACCTCACCTTTTTAAGGAATATATAACTCTTCAGAAAGGAATATAGGAGTATATATACATATGTTTATACAAAAACCTCTTTAATTTTTGACAAAAGTTGATCTAAAATTTTTCACATTCATTTAGAAACACTATGTATATTGTATACGTGTATATATGTGTGCGCGTGTTGTGTATTATTTAAGTAATTTAAAAATAAATTCTAATACCTCCATAGAATCGCCAGTAAGTTCCATTGTGTGACGATCTGATTCAATCATTTTTCGTTTTTCCTCCATATCAGTAAGTAGATTTTCCTTAAGATCAATTTTTTTTTCTTCAAATTCTTTTGCTGCTGCTTTCTTCTCAGATATATAATCGCGTTCAACCCATTCCGTCAAATAATCCCGATAAACTATATTCAGTCTCAGTCTAGCAAAGATAACATCTCAATTAGAAAAAATTTCATATGAATAATCGCATTGATAAAAAGAAATTATAAATAATACCGTTCCTTATATTGTGCTTCTAGTCGTTTTAGTTTACGATTGTATTCAGGATGCGTGCCTTCCTTCAATTGCTGCAGTTGTTTTTTCAAGCTAGCTAATTTATCTTGGTACATCCTGAAAGATTGCACATTCAAATATAATTTTCAGTGTAAATAAATAAATTAATAAATTCATGTATAATAACTTTGCAGACTTACTGTTCCTTGATTTCCGTATATTCTTCAGATTTTCCCATATCAGTTTCACTCGCCTCTTCGGTATCTAAAAAAATTTATTAATTTTTACAAATATTCTTCAACATATTACTTTATTTGTATCACATACATATTACTTAATATATATTATAGGGAAGGTATAACTCTAAAAATTAAGAACATGAAATCATGCAGGAAAAATACTCCTCATGCAGATGGATATAATTTCTTTTTATTAGTACCTTCGTCACTTTCATCTTGTTCTTCGGCATCTCGATCCTCCTCCAAATACTCTTCATTGTCTTCATCGAGATCATAGTCGTCCTGACGATCATACATCGTCGAAAAACCGGAGTCTTGATACGACATTGTCATACATGTCTGTGCGATACATACTTCAATAGCGACACACAACAAATCTGCTCCTGATTAAGTTAGGTTAGTTAGGTTAGTTAGGTTAGTAATAAATCTAAGCCTAAAGGTGCCTTTTCATGCTGATGCTTAATGCTTATTTTCAGCGAAAATAGATCAAATTTGTCACGCGATCGAAATTGTCGCTTGATATTCATTACCGATGATATATTTATTAAAGTCCGTCGGCTCGGGCATAATTAGAGAACGATGATGATACCGAGAATTAATAAAAATGTGTAATTATTAACATCAATATTTCGACAATACATTATTAAATTCGTGATTTTTTTATATAAATGCTGTATAAATAAGCATATATACTTTTAATGTTATAATATCTTATATAAGTTACATATTGCCGAAAAATTACAATTTTTTCTCTGCAGTTCATCATCATATATCATTTCTATATTGATAATCAAATTTGAATGATAATATTAAAATTAGTTTTAAATGAAAATCAAATATTATTAATTAATTTTAAACATATATACATGTTCACGAAATTAATTAAAAATAAATTAGTACCGTATTACTAGTTTCTTACTCTTATGCTCGGTTTTACCAATATAAATTAATCTCGGTTCAACTTAGGCCGGAATCAGACTACGCATTGAAGAATGAGATTGAAGATTGAAAGATTGAAGTTTGACCAATCAGAACAAAAGGAGCCAAAATTTCTTTGTTCTCATTGGTGAAATTTCAATCTTTAATCTTTAATCTCAATCTTCAATGCATAGGCTGATTCTGGGCTTACTCTTCATCTTTTTCTAGGTCTAAAGATTAGAAAAAGACGAAGAGTAAGTTGAATCGAGATTAAAGTTAATCTACGTTGGTAGAAATGTGGGTATTAATCACATAGCGTTTTCTCTTAGTTACATCAGAGAGAAACCTAAAAGAGATCATGCCGGCCTTTTTCCTGTTATAGTCGAAATCGCCTGTACATTCATTTTTATTTTAGGAACTACGTGACTACATATATTTTCTAACACTATCGATAAAATCGTCCAAATTAGGTATGGTTCGTCTCTATATTAAATCCTCAGGACAGAAGCGTGCCGACTAGTATATATTACTAGCATATGTCAAAGTTTCCATAATTATTAACAAGATAGAGACTTTTAATAAATTATATTTAATAAATTCAATCTCTTCTAAACATATATTGTCCATTTAAGATATAATTTAGTAAAAACAAGTTATAGAGATCCTCCACCATCCTCCAATTTTATCGGCGGTCCTTTTCTTTGTAAATATACTCATCCATAAAACAAATGACTTACTAATAAATTTATTAATAATCCGTTTTTGCAAGTGTATCTTTAATTTATCTTTAAATTATTTTTTTATTTTTATATCTAATTATTTTATTTTGCTAATGAAATTGCAATAACTTTTTAACTTATTATTCTTTAATGTATTATCTAATTTAAATAAAAGAAGAATTACTTAAAAATTA